GAAGCGCTTCCCCAATCAAGTACAGGAATGGCGTTCACAGTGGAATACTACAAGGACATGTGGAAGGTCAGTAGGAGGATGCCAAGCAAGCGGTGTGCCTCAATCTCCTGGCTCATCATACACTCCGCCCCGATGGATGCTGTTGCTCTGTTTAAAAGAGGAATGGAGGTGGAGGTTCAGTGCGTGAGATGTCACCGACAATCAGAGGACTCCCTGCACTTATGGGGTTCATGCCCACTGTCGTTACGTTTGTGGAAGTGGTGGGCCTACCACTGGAAAGAGATTGGCGGTCCAGAAGAAGTAAAGTGGGACTTAGAGTGGGCAGTGACGGGACAACTACCCCCCTCGCTGGCATATGGTAAAGGCTGGGGGTATGTGGCAGTGGCCATCCGCACAGCGGTGATCTGGTGGATTTGGAAGGAGCGCAACTCAGTCCTCTTCCAAAAGAGATATCTTTCAGGCGCAGCCTTGAAAAGCGGTATGAAGGGCACAATCACACAGATGGGCACAATCACACAGATGGGCACAATCAGACAGATGATCATCGTGGACTGGCGAAGGAAAGTCCTGGCCAGAGCAGAACCGGACCGGTACAAGGCAAGATTATGGTTTCTGCGTTCGTGGGGGAAGAAGAACCGCCTGGTGGCGATTTCCGCAGCCACCGGGAAACTGGTACTGTCCAGTTGGTTGAGGTCTGAGTAAACGAAGACTAGCTATATGTGGGAGTGTGCAGGAAGGGTTTGTCCACAGAGGGCCTCATAGCGTCTACCGTAGACACTTCAACAGGAATTTGTTTGAGAGAATGGAGTAGCGGACAAAGAGACATCAGTTGGGCCAATCGGATAGGCCAACAGAGGGAGACACAGGAGCCAAGACGGAGCACACCTGGACACTCGGTGGCCCGGGCATAATCCTGAACCTGCATTTAGGCTAGGGACTCGCAATAGAGTCTGTTACAGTAGGCCGTGGTGACTGGAGTGGTCGTCCGGAGCCTGTCGAGGAGTGTGTTGATTGTCTGCCAGTTTGGTCTGGTTAGGTAGCCAATTGTCCGCCAGGTTGGTCTGGCACTTGAACTCATATCAGTTTCAGCATCGGGTCTGCAATAATAATGAAGACATTTTCAAAGAAAAAAAAAAAAAAAAAAAAGAGTAACGTGGCGATGGGGGTAGGGTCTTTCTGCTGGGCTCCAGCGACGAGCGCATGAGGGCGTACACACACAATTGGATTTTTCCAACTCAGCTCTCGACGTGATTGCGGTCGCAATTCATCCAGGTCAGGCTGCAATTGGTGCGAGTATGCGCTGATAGCAGCGGGCAGCCCGGACGGTCTCCCATGCGGATCGGGCAAAGCGGAAGCATGGCGTCCGCGGCGCCGTCGGACTTCTTCAGCACGACGACTTCCGTTTCCTTTTTGTCCGAGGACACACTCAGGGCATGCTCACACGAGGACTTTTTCCAGTTCTCTGCGAACGCAATCCCGGTCAGGTGCATCCTGGCCGTGTCAGAAAACCGGTCATGTGGTAGCTCAGTGAAGTCCCGGTGTGACTATGCCTTCACACTGGGGACTTTTCCAAACCTTTCCAGACGTAATTGCGGTTAGATACAGATCCAAGTGACCGTGATCCCGATCAGGTGCGTTGAGAAGAGTCATAGCGTGAGAGCACGACGGTACGGCACGTCTGACTCCCTTCAGTCCATTCCATAGCTAGATAGACTAGACCCCTGGCACAGGACTACGGGGCCAGACAGGAGAACCTTGTCCTGGATGAATGTGCGCGCATGTACAGCCATATTCCGTCGAAAAAGTCGTGCGCAGGAGGGAGTATGCTGCTGGGTGGAGGGACTGTGTCCTCCCACGATTTCTGCTTGGGGCCCTCCACAAGGCTCCACACCGATTTAGTTTTCTATCCGAAATGCGGGTTGTTGGGTGTGGATCGCCGCAGGTGCAAACACTTCGGCCCCCAGCAGTTTCTTCCCGGCCCCCAACCCACCCACTCCTGCCAGGTTCATTCATACCGAGGTCGCCATTTGATTATACAGACCGGAAAAGGGGTCCGGCGTCCTTCCTATCAAGAACACAGTTTCCGGGGCCGAGTCCCACTAGCAGCGTTGAGCTACCTCAACGCCTGAATCTGGACGTGTTTGTGGAGACGTGCAGTTCAGGCAACTCAACACCATTTCTGCACATTTACCTCAACGCCTGAATCTGGACGTGTTTGTGGAGACGTGCAGTTCAGGCAACTAAACACCATTTCTGCACATTCTTGCAAAAGCGTCCAGTTTCAGGCGTTGAGGTAGCTCAACGCTGCTAGTGGGACTTGGCCTCCGACCAGGGAGACCGAACCGAGTGTGAACGGCAACCTAAGGAACCCTTTTTTTCTTTTTTCTTTTTTGCTTTTTTTCCAACAGAAACATCAGCTTAGTACTCATTACGAAAACCAAAACAAGTTGCCTGAGGCCGGGGTCCTCTCAATTCAACCCGGAGTTATCCCGGCAGCATCAGCCGGTTTAGCTTATGCATAGCATTCCTATAGTTACTTCCCACATCCTCCTCCTTTCAACCTCTTCCACTTTCTTCCCCCTTTAATCCCATCCAGTATCCCCCCTCCTACCATCCCATCTACTACTAACACTACCTATCAACCTAAGAAACCTACCCTCACCTACTAGACTATTAGGAGGCTATACGCCCCCCCCGAGTCAAACAGAACTCAGATTCTACTAGCTCCTCTCTCCCAGATCCTAAACCGAATCCGTTGGCCTCCTGCGGCCTCTCCCAAACTACTTCCCCCACCGAGAGGACAGGTGGGGTAAGGAACCCTTTTACAGTCACGAAGAGCCAAACAGATGCAAATGGACAAACGGGGGTCTGGTCCCAATACCGAGTGCGCTATAGTTTCATTGCTAGCCGTAGATTGCGGAGACACGAAGAGCCAAGCAGATGCAATGGACAAACGGGGGTCTGGTCCCAGTACCGAGTGCGCTGTAGTTCATTGCCAGCCGTAGATCACGGAGATCGGCGGCCATAAGTCCCACGCGTTAATGGGCCCATGCAAAGCCGCCCTCTACGTCGACTCGATGGTGCGGAAATTCGAACCACACCCCAGTTGCATTGCCAAAGATCCCCCCCAAAAGGAAACCTATCGAACTGACTAAATAACTAAATAATACATTACATATATCGTCAAATAGAACTGCCCGGTAAACCGTAGGCAGAGAGGGAGAAGAGGACAACAAAACATAGAAAAGAAATGAAAAAAACATATTATACGTAATATATAAATAGATAAAACTAGCCCCCGAGGATACGCGAGCATCACGACCATTCCCCCCCCTCCCCCCAAAACAACAACAAAAAAAAAAAGCATCACGAGCATCACATGCGACAAGACGCGCGAGAGGAAGATGTGTGGAGGTGATTGCAAGGGCAGGTAGTTACCAAGGCACGTCCGCCATTGTCTGCGCAGGTGGAGGGCGGAGCGGGGCGGGGAAGGGGAGGGCCGGTGAGGTTCGGGGCGAGCCGGGGCGGGCAATGGGAGCGAAGGCGGGAGCTGGGAAAAGGGAGGTGGGTGTGGCATACACGTGACGAGTGGCATGCAACCTCGCACGTCGATGCCCGATCCAAGGGACCGGCGCGCTTAGCATTCCGCCGAACGTAGGTAGGAGGAAGAGAGAAAGTGGGGTACGCGCAGCCTACCGGTAATGCATCCATCCCGACGGAGGCAGGGGTTTCTCCACCCCTACGGCCGTTTTTTGCCGGCTGTTCCCCCGCCGGCGGCCAGGTCGCAGTGGCGCCTTTTTCTCATAATTGGCCGCAGATTGTGCACATCGACCGCCAAAAATAAAAAAATAAAAGGAAAAACTCGCGCGGGAGTGGGCCCCGGCCGCAGTGGCTTGTCCCACTTGGCCCGGCCCCGCGATGGCTCCGCAGAATGGTCCTCGCCGCACTACTCAGCAAATGCACAAAAGACAAAAATTACGGGGTGCACCTTTCGATATTCTAGGGGAAGATTCGTTCTCATTTGTTTTTAAAACATTTGGTGAGTAGTGCGGCGATGCCTAATGTACGTGGACGGTAACGAATCCAAAATATGCACAGGTGGGACCACCAGGCCTTTGGTGGGACCTCGGTCCCTACGCTTGTGCTGTCGAGAGCGGGGCTCCCTGTGGCGACCCTCCTCGTGTTTAGGGCAGGGTAGGGCAGAATAGCCTAGCGTAGGTTCCCCCCCCACGTCGGAGATCCCGATTCATCAATCAAGGCTTCGCAGCGCCACTCAGGACATGTGAAAAAGACAAAAGAAACGGCGGGTGAATTGTGCGACGTCCACTCCATTTTTTTTTATTTTTTATTTTTTTATTTTTTTGAAATAATTCGTCTCTTCATTCCTTATAGCTGAGTTGGTGAGGCATGAAAGTGGCATTCAGGAGGTTGTGGGTTCAAGCCCCGTGCGGCCTCCGGCGCACTTAGTGCCAACGGACGGCGATAGTCCTCTGGATACCCGTGATCGGTATTAGCGGGGTCTATGACCAACACGGGTGTGAGTGTGAGCACGAGTGGGTTGTGTGTGGTGTGTGGGAGAGTGTTGGCCATAGCCTCTGCTGCTACTCGATGAGGGGTGGGGGACGATGAGAAAGGGAGGCGCAGCTACTGGCAAAATGCTCAGTCTTTGCGTTAGCCGGACCCCCACCGGCGGCCCCACCCCATCTATGACTACCGCTGTTGGGGCGGGAGGCAACATGAATTACCTCGTTTGCCAGGCCCTATGCTTGCAGGGGTCCCCTCTATATAGTCTTAGGGGTAGTGGTAGGAAGGTAGTGAAAGGCGAAAAAGAATTTGAGAGAAGAACATAGTGTAGTTTAAAAAAAAAAAAAAAAAAAAAAAAAACAAAGACGCCGGAAAAAAAAAAAAAAAAGAGGCCGGGAATCCTCACAAACAACTCGGAGGGGCTTTCCCTCCGCCGCTTGTTTCCTGTACCATTTCGTTCGCCGGACTCCGTCGGCCGGCAGTCGTACTTTCTCTCAGCCGTGTCCATCCATCGCCAAGATGGTGAATCCCTTAGTGAGGAGGAAGATCATGAAGAAGAGGACGAAGAAGTTCATTCGTCCTCAATCCGACAGGAAGATATGTGTGAAGCCAAACTGGAGGAAGCCGAAGGGTGTCAATTCCCGCGTTCGGCATAGGTTCAAGGGAACGACGTTGATGCCAAATATTGGTTATGGGTCGAACAAGAAGACGAGGCATATCCTTCCCAATGGTTTTAAGAAGTTTGTCGTCAACAACGTCAAGGAGCTGGATGTTCTTCTCATGCACAACAGGGTGTTTTGTGCCGAGATCGCTCACCGTGTTTCCACTCTCAAGAGGAAGGCCATTGTGGAGAGGGCAGCCCAGCTGAACATCAGCGTGACGAATGGAGCAGCTCGTCTCCGCAGCCAGGAGGACGAGTAAAGAGGGGGGATCACTGTGGGCGCTGTGTAGCTTCTACCTCCTTTTCCTTGTACTCGACGTACGTCAAGCAACTTAGCTCTCGCTCGAAGACAGGGAAAGATTTTCGATCGCGTATGTGTGAGGGAGGAGTAGATAGAATGTGTATGGGAGAATGGGCTCGTAGAGAGCTGGGGTTTCATGAGGTACTCTGATTTTCTGGTTAAGTGCTGCTGAAGGTTGTGGTAGGCTAGCAGAGAATTCCTTGAGTAATGAGAAGCGGAACAGGGCGCCATATCGACGACTTCTGGGAGTTTGATCCTCGCACAATGCGTATTGGAATCTAAGTTGTTGGGGTCAGAAGCTGAGCTTTCGGTATCTTGAACTCGTCAGAATTTTGGATACGGAGTTACAATTTTTCCTCGGGATCAATATGGACCGTGTGTGTCCTTAAGCACAATTTGTCAGTGGTTGTTCTAAAAAAAAAAAAAAAAATCTAACCCCGAGGGAGCCTGGGGCCATAGCCCCACATGGACCATGCTGGAAACCGGGTCCAGAGTCCCTCAGTATCCCTCTAAAAGAATTCTTCCAAAATAAAACCCTGAAGCTCAGCAAAAGGAAAAGAGGAGCAACACAAAAAAAAAAAAAAAAAAGGGAGGGGAGCAGCCTCCCCCCAAAAAAAAAAAAAAAAAAAAAAAAAAAGGGCAGCAGCCACTCCCCAACATCTTGTCAACCGTCAGCCCAAAACAGATCTTTACTGTTGCTGCCTTAATCAAAATTACAGCCACTCCACAACTCCATCTGCAAGACCGTTTCCGGGACGGACTTCGACCCGTTAGGAAGATGGTCCCTGGTCACATTAACAATCAAATCTCAGCAATGGACCTTGATCTCGGTATATGCCCCCGTGGACCATGCTCTCAAAATTCCTTTTCTAAATAATTTTTCCCAAGTCGTACCGGATTCAAATTTCTTGCTGATCGGGGGGGATTGGAACACGGTACTGAATGAGGCACTGGATTCATCCTCCCCTCTCTCTCACCCAGACGAATCGCTAGTGTTGAATGAACTGTTGGCAGACAAGGGTCTTTTCGACCCGTTCCGTATATTGCACCCCGACCAGCGATCTTTCACCTGGTTCTCCTCCAACACACCGGTGGTGTGCAGAAGACTGGACGTTATCTTCTATACGGAATGTGTGATCCCACTGGTTCTCAAGGCAGAACACTCACTAGATCCACTTTCAGACCACAAACCGGTCTCACTTACCATCGCGGCAGGCCCCCCTCTGGATAAGAGGAGGGGTACATTCAAATTAAACATCCAGATCTTTGATGACAAGGGTATGATTGATTGGGTTCGCATTTTCTGGGAAGATTGGAGAGCTTCTTCCACCCTGTTCTCAGATTGTGGGGATTGGCTAGATAAAGGCACACATATGCTCTCTGGGCTTCTCAACAACATTTCAAGAATCAAGCGGCAAACAGGAAACTGGATGAGATCATCCTCAAACGTAACATAGAAAAGGCTGAGAATAACATGGGTTTTACCTCTTTCTCCAACAGCCATTGGGCCCTCAGGAGAACCCTATGGCTACAGGAATGGCAGGATAAGCAAATTAGCAGACAAGAATCATGGGTTAAATTCAAACGCATAGACAACATCCTACATAAGGACAAAATGAACTCCACTACATTCAAATTGGGAAATGACAAGCGAGGCTCTCCCTCTATGGTGGAATTATTTCACCCATTCTATAATACGCATCCCCCGACAACGACCTCTGATTCTATCTGTGAGCTTGTCCGCATATTCTATGAAAAGTTGCTTACCTCCGACAAAGGTCCAGGAGAACCAATAGTGTCTCCGGAATACGAGGAATTCCTATGGGGGTCTACACACAAAATACTGTCACAACAGGAACAAGAGACTCTGGAACAACCTATCACTCTCTGCGAACTAACAGCAGCTATGCGCAGTATGGCCAGAGGTAAATGTCCTGGGCCCGACAATCTACCAGTCGAGTTTTACAGTCTCTTCTGGGACCTGTTCGCACCGAACCTACTTCGAGCTTTTAATAACGTCCTCACTGGAAGCTCACTTGGCAAGAGAACGACGGAGGGTGTAATTACTCTCCTGTACAGGAAAGGTGATTGACGGGACGTCCGGAACTACAGGCCCATCTCCTTACTAAACGTGGCAGGGAAAATCTTGGCAAAGACCCTAGGAAGGCGCCTTACCTCTCTGATGACCAAGTTGGTCCACTCGGACCAATCAGGTTTCATCTCAGGGAGGCAAGTCCTCGACAACGTCATGGTAATCTCACAAGTCATAGATCTTATCAAAGCACAAAAATCTGATACCGCCATACTCCTCATAGACTTTGAGAAGGCCTATGACCGTGTCAAGTGGAATTTTCTACTGGAAGTCCTATGTAAGCTAGGAATAGGTCCTAACTACAGGGGTTGGGTAGAAAACCTTTACCGCGGTTCACAGGGTAGAATCACGGTCAATGGATTTGTCTCCCAGTCTTTTAGAGTCACAAGGTCACTGAGGCAGGGGCGTCCCCTAGCGCCATCCCTCTTCATCATCCAATTGGAGGTGCTTCTCAATATGATCAGAAACCATCAGTCGTTCAGAGGTCTCCGAGTCTCCCCCTCCTTTGAACTGAAAGTATCGGCCTTAGCCGACGATTTCTCAGTCAGATCGGAAAGCACACCTACCTCTTTAACAGCTCTGCATGAATGCCTATCAGTCTACGAAGTTGCTTCTGAAATGCGGGTGAACTGGAATAAGTCCGTCGCTCTGACACGTGACAACTCCCCACTTACAGTGGACTTTGGGATCAAACTGGTCCACTCAACAGAATCCAAAAGATATCTGGGAATCAAGATGTCCTTCGGAGACTGTGCAAAGGACCAGGCATCAGTAATTGACAACAGGACTAGAGGTACATGCGCCAAATGGTTTGGGAGGAAGAATTATTCCCTCCTAGGAAGAGCATTAGTAGCCAACTGCACCATCCTTTCCACCCTTTGGTTCATTCTGGCGATTCGCCAGATCTCCTCATCCTCTGCCAAGCTAGTGCGCCAGCTCCTTACCAGATTCATCTGGAAGGGGGATGCTAACACCTGCTCATGAATCAGTAAAGTTGCTTAGTGGAAACTCACCAAGAAGAGGCGCGATGGTGGCCTAGGTATTCTAGACCCAAAGACACAGAACTCCGCTCTGCTGGCCAAATGGCCAGTAAGGCTCCGTATCTCACAAGAAGAACAACCCTGGATGCATTTGGCACAAGCCACCCTATCTAGGGAATGGGAACTAGCTGACGAAGAGGCCGTATGGCAGGCTCTCGTGTATTACCCCATGGTCAGATCTGTCAAATCCCCCACATGGGGTCCCATTCTGAACTCTTGGTCTAGGATTCTTCCTAACACCCTTACACCACCATCCACCTTTTCTGAAATCATGTCTACTAGTTTGTTTGAAAATCCCGCCATTCTGGACGCTTCCGCCCAACCCCTCTCGGTAGGTAAAATTCCAGGCAATTTTGCCAGGAAATGGCTATAGAGAGGAATCTGGAAGATAGAGCATTTATGGAGCAGCCAGACCTTCGATTGGCACAAGGTGGAAACATTGAGGGAGAAACTGCGAGGCCTTCACAATGTAGAACAACATAGGAACCTCCTGATTGCTGCCATACCGGCTACTTGGAAAGCGAAACTGCAGCAGGGCGAAGCGACTGTGGAACAGGATTCCTGGTGGCGGGACTCCACAACTCAAAAGTACTTCTGCGCAACCAAACAGGGCACCAGGCAGGCAGCAGAGGTCTCCTCTTGGAGACACAACAAAGGAACACTGCGACGCTCTGACCCTCCTACTCAGACACTCAACTTGGAGCAATGCTGCGAAGTGAGGGTCAAGGTGCATACTGGAAAGGACAGCAGAACCAAATTCACACCAGTGAAAAATGGCTCGGATTACAGCACTTGGAGGGTAGATGTAACACGAATGGGATGGAATACTACACCGGAATCTACAACAGTTACCACAGTACTACTGCCGGATTACTCTTCACGAATTGGTTACAAAATTCACTCTAAATCCTCATCGCTCCAAATCAGAGTATGGGACTCATGGAACAGTCAGTGCAAGAAAATGCAGTTACCAAGTCCAGGGCTGACCTGGGTTCACGTCTTCATCAGCATCATCATGGGGATTACGGAGGTCAAGCTCGCGGGGCTTCAGTGGTTACACATGCACAACTGTGTCCCCACTGCAGCCTGGTGCACAGAGAAAGGTATGGACAACCATGTCCCCATACATCGCTGGAAGATTCTTCTCACCTCTGGTGGGAATGTGTGGCCCCACACATCGCTGGAAGATTCTTCTCACCTCTTGTGGGAATGTGTGGTTGTTAGAGGCTTCTGGGAATGGTTGAGCAGGCTTTGGTTCGCAACATATGGCTATATGTCGTACTGGACTAAGAGTATGGTCTTTTTCGGATATCAGTCTATGACAGCTAGATCAAAGATTGGTAACAAATTTCGCATTATTGGCTTTTGGGTCCTGTGGATGGCTCGCATGGACCGAAGATTCAGTAACTTGGTGTGGTCTGTTGCCCATCTTCGTAATTCTTTTAAGGCTGCAGTTAGGAATTTGATCTTAGCCGAATGGTTCAAAATTAAGGATAGCTCTCTGTTACTCTCAGATGCCCAAAAACTGTTCAGCAGCCGTTGGGCCTCTGAGTTTCAATGGGTTCGTTTCTTAGAAAATAAGCAGTTGGTTTTCTCTCGTCACCTTTGGGACGAAAAGGAGGACTTGCTCCTCCCCCAGGACCCAGAAGTTGTCTGTTTATAATTCTCCTCCAGAAGAAAGGGACATTGAACCCGGTTTCCAGCAGGTGCAGCTCCCCACCAATTGAAAGGAGTAATCTAAGGGTGACCCCTCTGACATGGCAGTGCTCATATCACTCCAGTCAGAAGGGCATCCGCCTGATTTTCAAAAAAAAAAAAAAAAATACTGCCTTTCTACAAGATTCAACAGGTAACCCTAAAACGGGCTGCTCCAAAGTGCGTCTAGGAACACACGCACACAC